AATATTACATTTTTTTCTAAACCTAGATAAATATTATAATTTAAAAAATTTACTCAAAGCTAAAAAAAAATAATCACAAATATTTATACTGTTTTTAATTCAAACGCATTGATTTAAATTTGCATACTTCATTGTATGACCTACATGATGAGCCGTTCATTTCATGCCCTGCTGTATATACCCTTCCGCACGCAAAACCTGTGAAGGCAGCAATTGCCAAATGCCAGAGCTTAAATTCTGGTGATAAATGTATTTATATGTATGTCAATTTTGTATTTGAAATATGCCCCATGCCAATGCCATCTAGAGGGTATAGCAACAATAGCAACAACAACATGCGTACTGTAAATTTTAAGTTGAAATTAATGAATAATTAAGCTGCATTGGGGAGCCATTCGAACCGTTGTTCGAAAGCGGAAATGCAACATTTGCATAACTAACACAATGAACTACATACGCAACGCAGTTACATGAATCGGCTGTTGGCCCATATGAGTGCGTTCATCTAGACATGCCATCAATTGCTGCTCTATGCATAGATATATGTATTTATGGTGGCATTAGATATGCAAATTTCAATACTTTCACAAACATAATTGGTGTATAACGGCAGTTGCCTTTGTCAATTAATCAATCAATCAAGYCAGCCCAATGAGCAACGCTCCAGTATGCGGCGCGGAAGCAACTTGTCCGCCTGCAAGAGTGCACCTTGTAGCATGTTAATCATGTCATCATCAGTTCTGAACGCTCACAAAGTTCAAAAACAAAAAAACAGCAGACATCAAACGTTAAGCAGCGCTTGTTCGGCTATTGCTGCTGCCTTTGCTGCTGCTGCTGCTGCCTTTGCTGGTGTTTTTGCTGCTTCTGCCTCGCGTCAAAGTCGTGTGCGTTCTCTGTGTAATTCATATTCAAAGCGCGTTGCGACACAGCGCGCTGTGGTTACCACGGCTGGTGCGGGGCAAGCGACGCACTTTTGCGTAGGCGTCTGGCTGCTCCCCCCTCGGCTTGCCGCCGCCCTTCCCTTTGTGCAACCGAGCGCACTGCTTTTAAGTGGCGGCCACTGGGCAGCGTGTGCCCCATTGTGCGGCACGTTGTGGGGCGCAGCTCGGCTTACTTTATGGGTGTTGTGTGTGCTGGTGTGTTGGACTGTCTATGTGTGTGTGTGTGTGTGTGTATTGGTGTGTGGCTGCGTGTGCCTGCTTTGGCGATAGGCTAAAGTGCTACGGCTAAAGTGGCAATTCTAATCTGCTGTGTCGCTGTGATGCTTTGTCTTTTAAGCGCGCTTACTAAATGTATACATAGTAATATGCACCGAGAGAAATCGGCAATTTGAAATTCTATAAAAAAAAAAAAATGAAGAAAAACCCGCTTAGATTAAAAATAAAAATAAAAAAAAAACACATTTTCAGAATCATGAAAAAAAAAAAACAAACATTTGACTTTGAATTAAATATACATAAATA